TATGAAATTGTTAATAAATAACTACATAAATGTGAGTTAAAGGCTGGCCTCCTACATAGTGAGTTTGGGCCAGCCTGAGCTATGTAAAACCCTGTCTCAAAAAAGGAATAACATATAACTGAAAAAAATATAATTCATAAACTGTACCCGGGTAGTGGCAATACATGCTTTTAAACCCAGCACCTGGGAGGCAAAGGCAGGCAGATCTCTGTGAGTTTGAGACCAGCCTGGTCTATAGTGTGAGTTCCAGGACAGCCAAAGCTACACAGAGAGATTTGTCTTAAAAAGAAAAGAAAGCAAACAGACACTTTATTTTGGAAAATCACACAGGACATCTCTCTGAATACTCTTATGTAAAGTTCCTTATTTTCTTCCAAAAGTTTTCAGGACCTCTGATGTCACACCCTCTGTGATGCCTTCTGGGACTGCTACATGTTGATACCCCCCCACTTTCCTATCCCCTCTCACTCCCTACACATCCACACACACCACGCCCCTCTCCCTACCCCCCCAAGAGAAATATTTTAAAGATGGATTCCATTTTTAAAATGTAGACTGGAGAGCACATTGGATCACAAAAGGGTGGGCATGAAAGAAGTGCATAGCAGTAAAGGACAGGGCTGATGGGAGATGTCATTCTGTAAATATGTCTCTTATTGGTTGTTGAATAAAGCATTGTTGGCCAATAGGGAAGCAAGATAGGTGGGACTAGGAGTCTAGGAGGATTCTGGGAAATATAGTGAAGGGAGTTGTCGAGATGTGATCCTGGAGGAGAGGCCGCAAGTCTGGCGTTCTCGGAAAGATAAGTCCTTATAAAAATATATATTGGTGATTATGGGTCAATAATTAAGTCAGAGCTAGACAATGAGAAACAATAACAAGTGGCCAATAGCTTCATAATTAATATAGTGTCTCATGTGTTATTTGGGGCCTGCAGCTGTGACAGGGCCCAGGTGGCTGTCAGGGAAGACTACACGTTACACAGGGTTATGTTGCCTGTGCGCTGTCTTTTATGCCTTCCCCCGTAACGCCCCCTAGCCATGCCCAAAAGTGGGCCTGGCTAGTGACGTAGTTCCGCCTACGTACGTATACATCTTTACGTCCAGCCGTGTACGTCTTTAGTCCTGCCTAAAGTGGGTGTGGTTAGCGGTGTGGTAAACCTCCCTTTTATTACCTCATCTGTATGCGCCTCTAGTAAGTCACATGCTTAATGGCGGCATAGACTTAGTAAGTCACATGTTTAATGGCGGCATAGACTTCCTCCTACAATTCCCCTTTTAGTCTAAAAAAGGACAACTAACTTGTGTCCATGAACAAGATGTATCAAACTTCTATCTAAACCTAAACTTATCTGAAAGAAACACCCAAATATGAACACCTCCTTCCAATCCCAACTCTAAAATAATTGAAAACTAACACTAACAGGTGTAAACTATCTTATAATATCAATAGTAGGGAGAGGGGGCGTGGAATTCTCAAAACTACTTCCTGCTGAGATGGGACGATGATAACCTCATGGGGACCTGTGAAAAGAAAATGTTAGTATAACAAAATCTCAGTAGATCAGACAGTCTCAGTATGGCAGGAGATGCTTGATTGAAGTTCCTGACCAGGGTTCTAGTGTTGATTGAAGCTCTTATCTTGAAGTTCTGGTCAGATTGTAGAAGATGTGCTGTTTCAGTTTCTTGGTCCGGAGATGTGTAGAGTGATGTAGTTTCAAGCCAGTTTCAGGATAGTGCTTGTCAGGTGGAGTCAATGATGTGGGGCAATTCAGATGCCTCCAGTCGAATCAGGTGAAGTCAAGGAAGTGGATCCTCATTCTCTTTCGGAAGCAGTTGAAGATTGCTGTCAGGAAATCCCTTGTTCTCTGGAAAACTCAAACATTAATGTTAACAAAGAAATATTTTAACTTTCATATGTATGCATACAGAAGAGGTGACAATAGGGAAGATGGAAAACCTGGAGGAAATTAGACTGTTCAGAAAAAGAAATCCATAGATAACAGTCCCTCATTTTATTTCTTCTGTCTTATATCAATGGCTCTTTGATATAATACAGAAATTCTGAATTGTATTTAAATAATATACTTGGGTTTAGAGTAGGAGAGAAGCTTTTTCTTTGAGAGGAGCCTTTTCGCCCGCCTGGTTCCAGAGCCGCATCAGTCCCAAATAAACACACAAGACGCTGTATTAGTTATGAAGCTGTTGGCCTTGCTTGTCTCTTACTGGCTACCTCTGCCTTAAGTAATTACCCCATAATTGTTAATCTAAGTATGTCTCTTACCGGAGAATAGTTCCGGGCTCCTACCCCATGCGTTACATCTCGAACTCTCTTGTGTTTCCTTCCCAGAATCCTCCTGGACTCCTAGTCCCTCCTATCTAGATTCCCTATTGGCCAGACAGTACTTTATTGACAAATGCACAGGCAAATAACAGGAATTCCCCAACAATGTTGGTAGCTGGAAACGAAGTGATGCCAGTGGGGATGGGTAAAAGTGGATGAATTTAAAAGATATTTAATCACCCCCACCTACAAAGTGACTTGGGATAGGGAAATTGCTGAGTCAAAGTTTGTACTCAGGTATTTGGAAGGCTTACCTGAGTGGTTACTAAGATCATTTAACAAGGCAGAACAAGGGGAGGGAGAAAATTTGATGATAAATATCTTGCCTTCAATTTGGAAAATGTTGGGCTTAGGGCTCCCAGGAGACATCCAAGTGGAGTCATGGAGACAGCGGGAGGCTATTGGATTAGAGCCACAGACTATAAAAGCAGAGTCTTCCAAAGAGTGAAGTTAGAACAGAAAGAAGAACCTGGGGCTCACTTTGAGGAGTTCCATCAGCTAACACTGGGAGAAGGAACACCATCCAAGAGAGTTACAATGGCAGGGCAGCTGGGAAAGAGGTTGACTCAAGGTGACACCTCCCACCCTCCACCCCCTGAGGATCTATTACCAATGGATGGGCAGGACACCACACAGAAAGACTGAAGTTATGGTAGAGAGGAAAGGTTATTTGCCCACAGCAAACATTTCCAAGGATTTCAGGTCGAGGAGCAAGAATTGACCTTGGATAGGAAAGACAACACTCTAACATGAGGGAAGCAAGAAAGGAGGGGATTTTAGAGTTAAGTTCCCTTTCCCCTACTCCACTTCACACCTGTCTCTAGGGGGACTTCAGACCCCAAGATCACATATGGAAATAACAGTCTTGCACTGAGTGCTTCCATGACTTCCTGACTACATTTCAGAAGATCAAATCCATGCAATGAATCCCTTGTACATAGTAATACACATATGTATGTATGTATATATGTATGCATTGTACATATGTGTGTGTGTGTGTGTGTGTGTATAATGTATATAATAAAACAAGATACTGGGTAGTGCCGGGCGTTGGTGGCGCACGCCTTTAATCCCAGCACTCGGGAGGCAGAGGCAGGCAGATCTCTGTAAGTCCAAGACCAGCCTGGACTACCAAGGGAGTTTCAGGACAGCCTCCAAAGCCACAGAGAAACCTTGTCTCGAAAATAAACCAAAAAAAAAAAAAGATACTGGGTAGTGCATATACTGCATATATGCACTATGCCTCTTATTTAATCTTTTCTTTTCCCTTCTCCCCTTTACAACTGTCTACTAGGAAACTTCAGACCCCAAGATAAGATATGGAGACACCATCCATATGCACTGATTATGCCATATTGCCTGTCTATACTGAGGGTGTGCCCATTGGAGGCCAGAAGGGGCTTGGATGCCCAGGAGTTGGAGTTAAAAGTGGTTGTGAACTATAACTATCATAGGATATCCCTAAATTTGTGTAGTTTAATATTCCTACTTCAGGAACTGAACTCAGGGTTCCCATAAGAGTAAACACTCTTACTGCTGAGCACTCTGCAGCCCCTCTCTGGTTGACTTTTAATTGACTTCCTGTCGTATTTGACTCGAATTGCTAATCCACATGGCTCCTTTAGGAAAGTACATTATATCAGGTTAGCTTCAAAACAACAGAAATTTATTTCTGCAGTTACAGAGACTGTGATTAGAACTCTGTCAGTGTGGTTGGGTTCTGATGAGTGATTTCTTCTGGGCTGCAGACTGCCTTGTTCTCATGTGTCCTCACATGTTAGAAAGAAACATGCAGCTCTCTGGGATCTGTTTCGGAAGAAGGCCATTCAAGCCAAAGGTCCCATCTCATATGCCATCTCACTTAGGATCAGGACCCCAGCATAAGTGTTTGGAGAAGGTAGAGATATAAAAATGTATCTGCTGCACTCATATCATCCAATATTATTTCTGATTTTTGTGGTTTGAAGCGATTATATTTAGTGTTTTTCATGGTTGATTGGCCTGGTCTGCTTATTTCCTCAGCTTACTTTTGGCTTCTATTTCTTAAGCCATCAGGAACCAGACTCATATTTCTGACATAGTCATCATCTGCTTCCCACTTCCAGCAGCTATAAAATACCTTCCCCTACCTCCCTCAATATCCTCCCAATTCAAATGCATTTACTCAGATAGAATACTAACAAGGATTCAACCACCCATGAGTAAATATAAACAGTAACAGAAGGCAAGGCAATGTTTGTAATTCAGCTCAATAGACTTCACTGGCAGGAAACATCCTGCAATAATAAATCTTTTGATTGCTGAGAAACATGGTTCAAAAGAAAAAGGGAAGTAATGTTTCATATTCAGACAGGAGTCCAGGAACAACTCTTGTAAACTTAAGAATTGTACTCTCCCTGACCCTTTTAAACAGAGCTTCAGCCAGATGGAACGAGTGAAGGATTTGCTATGCAGGCCTGGGTTTGGATCATGGTCTTAACCCTGTGGCTTTGGGCCAAGGATTTAACTTCTCTATTGCTTAGCTTTCTTGTCTTTTAAATGTCAGTAATCAGCTAACAGATTTGCTGAAGAGATGAGAAATAGCATACAAAACTTTGTTCCACTGAGGCCCCAAAATAAGATGCCTCTTTGTTGCTGGGGAACATGGAAGGTCTTGGCAAGGGGTGAGGGCTTTTTTTTAAATACAACTAAAGCACTGGGCTAGGCAGAAAGTGACTGCCCCAGCAATTGCTCCAAGTGCAATGGTGTCAGGACAGGAGGCAAAGAAAGCTCACTCTCTTGGCATGTGAGCAAGAAGGAGCTGAGTGGGTGAGTACATGACTTTTTTCTGACCGCCTCTAACTAGTTTTCACCTGGACTCTGGGTTCCCACAGTCAAGCTGCCAAGCCAGGGACTTCTCAAGGAGCAAACACAATAGCAGCTGTGTTTGAAATCTGTTAACAACATCAAACAACGGAACACCAGTTTTGGAAACTGGAAACATTAAACAATTTCACACCCAACCAAGCCTGACCTTAACACTATAGGACTCACAGCCACCAAAGAATGACTGGACATGAGGTGGTCACACAGACTCAACAAATGAAGGAAAACTAAGGATGACTACAAGATGACATGGAATGTTGATATTTTTCCATGTGAGGCAACAGTTTAAACGGCATAAAAACACCAGCAACCTTACATTATTTGTCCCTTGCTTCTGTTCTCAGGCATCTAAGTACTCATTTTCTGGTTTGTGTCACATACTATTTTAGTAATATCTAATGCTTTTTTATTATAAACATTCATCTACTGACCTGATCCTTTTATCTATACACATATGCTTTCTACTTGCGGAATTGACTTTCTTTGGAAATGTAGTACTGCTTTTATTAATACATTATTATATTTCTAAAAATTGGAAAGTTATGACAAAATACTTCTAGTACTTTCTTTATCTTCTGCTTTTAGTAATGGGCCTCACACAAGTAGAACTCTCTTCAAAGAAGTTTGACTTGAACGGCAGACTCTGATTTTAGTAGCCAGTCTTCTATCTGTGCTAAAAATAAGACAGTACTCTTTACAGTTAGAAGGACAATGTTTCTTGTTCTTTTGTTTTGTTTTTCAGACAGGGTCTTCTGTAGCCCAGGCTGGACTCCAATTCATGATATAACCCAGGAGGAACTCCTGACCCTCCTGCCTCTACCTCCTAAGGGTTAGGATTATCCATATGTCCAACCAGGGTATGTTGTTGGACAATGGTTTCCTTTCTCCCTCCCTCCCTCCCTCCCTCCCTCCCTCCCTCCCTCCCTCCCTCCCTCCCTCCCTCCTTCCCTCCCTCCTTCCCTCCCTCCCTCCCTCCCTCCCTCCCTCCCTCCCTCCCTCCCTCCCTCCCTCCTTCCCTCTCTCCCTCCCTCTCTTCCTCTCTCCCTATTTCTTCTCTTTCAATGATTTCTGAAAAGCCTTTTACTCTGGGTTAGCAATGGTTTGGGAGGGAATTAGTAATTGTCAATATTTATGCTTGATTTCTTTTTTTTTTTTTTTTTGGTTTTTCGAGACAAGGTATCTCTGTGGCTTTGGAGGCTGTCCTGGAACTAGCTCTTGTAGACTAGGCTGGCCTCGAACTCACAGAGATCCACCTGCCTCTGCCTCCCGAGTGCTGGGATTAAAGGCGTGCGCCACCAACACCCGGCTTTTATGCTTGACTTCTAAATCAATATATTTTTATATTAACTTGGAAAGGTAACTCAGATTCTGTTTTGGATTTTTTTTAAAGATTTATTTATTGATTATGTATGCAGTGTTATGCCGGCAAACATGCCTGCAGGCCAGAAGAGGGCGCCAGATCTCATTACAGATGGCTGTGAGCCACCATGTGGTTGCTGGGAATTGAACTCAGGACCTCTGGAAGAGCAGTCAATGCTCTTAACCTCTGAGCCATCTCTCCAGCCCGGTAACTCAGATTCTTAATACATACATATGTGTGTGTGTGTATTAAAAGTGTGTGTTTAAAAAATATACATATAGTCCCAAAGATATTTACCAGCAAGGATATATTATGAAGTAAATTGAAACAAAAATTTGAAAGAATCTGAATGTTCTATAATATAAATAGAATATTAATTATATAACCTGTCAAATATTAATGACACAATTATAGTCATTAATAATATATTAAATACTTTAAAGCATCTTTTATTAATTCTTTAACAAATTCAGCATATAAGCATTTGATCTTGATCCCACCCACCCCAGACTTATAGAAATCTGCTAAGAACTGGAAGCCACTCTTCATGGTATAGGAATTAATTTCCTTGGCTCCTGATGCATCAGAACCATGATGAGATTTTGAGTTCTAAGAAAAGGACTTAGGGTATAATGAACCTCTAAGACTGAGGATATAGCTTTTGTTAATCTAGACTGTGGGAGGCCTGTGATCTCCTAGGAGCACTGTTAGGCTTTCAGCATCACAGACACAGATAGTGCTAACTCTGTGTTGTATGTTTAGTCACTGTATTTTTAGAGTCCAAATAGAATGTTGAAATTAGAACTGCTACAGAATCCACATCTTTCCATTGCATATTAGACCTGGTCCAGTTCTAGCTTCATATATGTAACAGACTTACTATGGGAAATATAAACCACCAGCAAGACTGTAGAATAATAGATTCCTCAGGAATAATATAACATTTTATCGACCCTAAGGGAAGTAAATACATTTTGGGGAACATTTTAAAAGAGAAAAATCAAGATAGAATTGAACTTTGTGTCTTTTTTTTAAAGCTTAAAAAATAACTGTATTTTTAGGTTTGGGTGGGGCTATTTCAGAAGAGTTTGCTTCTTACATGGTAGCTGCCATATCTCAGGCACTCTGCCAGGTACCTTAATATTAAAAAAAAATACCTGTTTTTTTATTTAAATTAGAAACAACCTTGCTGGGCTTTGTCTTTAGAAAGTGTTTCTTATATGTAAAAGAAACATTCTCAGCATAGTTCTTCAAAAAAAGAAAAAGGAAGAAGAACATTGCCTGGCAGGTGGAATAAATTCTCCCAAAGTACCAACATCAGTGGAGGCTGAAAGCCTCTGATGTCAGGCTGAGACAGTGAGTAAATAAACCAGATCAGGGAATAGCAGAACACAACATCCAGGAAGGGCTTTCCCAAGTCCCTTCAGAGAACAATTAGATTAAGTATGGGAACAGAGAAAGTCTTGGTAGTGTCAATCAAGGTAAACGAAGAACAGACCTGTTGTTAACAAAGGCCCAACACATAAAAGAACACCAGATATGGGAATTGGTGCTACAACAGTGACCCCTGCTGGACCCCATCTTATTTTTCTAGACGTTAAATGAGGGCTCCCATAAGCATTAATCAAATCTTCTTAAAGCCTAATAATTGATTAATTTTTCCAGAATGTCATACCACATATTTTGATCATAGTCAATGCCCCCAGATACACCCTCAGAGAACATTTGAATTTGAAAGCTGAAATTAGGTTCAGAGAACATTTAGTATTGTTCATTTCACAGACAGGTTCTGTGATTTGCTTTAGACCACACAGCTAGCTGCAGCTGCTAGACCCCTGTTCAGTTCTTGGGGTGTTTATCCAAGAAGAGTTTTCTGTCTCTACAAAAATATCTGTAGCATAAAGACTGTGGTGGCCAAGCAAGATTTCTGGACTTTACAGGGGTTTACAAACACTTCTCTGGGCCATGCTGCCTTGGGGGCCCCACCAATCTGAGTAGCCTTGGGTAGCAAGCTTTCTTGTCTGATTATTTTTGGACTGCTAGCCCAAAATAATGGCCCAGAGACTTATCATTAATTATGAAAGTTTGGCTTTTGCTTAGACCTGTTCCACTAGTTCTTATAACTTAAATCAACCTGCTTTTATTAATCTAAGCTCTGCCAAGTGGCTCAGTTACCTCTACTCTGTACCACATATCTAACTTCCTCAGAGTTCTGATGGCATCTCAGGGCACCTACATTCCCCTCCTCTTCCTTTCTCTCTCTGGAAATCCTGCCTATCTTCTCTTGCCAGCAATTGGTCATTCAGCTCTTTATTAAACCAATCACAGCAACACATCTTCATACAGAGTACAAATATCCCATGATATTCCCCCCTTTCATCTAAATGAAAAAAAATGGTTTTTAACTCTAACATAGTAAAACTAAATACAATAAGAACAATTATCTTTTTTAACCTTTTTATTACTTTAATTTTAAATAGCTTGCTTCACATGTCAACCCCAGTTCCCTCTCCCTCCCTTCCTCCCGCACTCCCCACTATCCCCCCCAGCCTCCCACCCTATCCCCACTTCCTTCCACATAGGGAATATCCAGAGTCTGTCACTTCACTCAGGGCAGGGTCCAGGCACTCCCCTAAGAGTCCAGGCTGACAGAGCATCCTTCTTTGTGTTATGGACACACGAAGTCCATTTGTATGCCAGGAATAAACACTGATCTACTGCCCAGGGCCCCATAGGTTTCCCAGGCCTCCTCACTGACTCTCACACTCAGGAGATCTGGATCAGTCCCATGCTGGCCTCCCAGCTGTTGGTCTGGGGTCCAAGAGCTCCCTCCTTGTTCAGATCAGCTGTCTCTGCTGGTTTCACCAGCACATTCTTTGCCAATTTGCTCATCATTCCTCTCTCTCTGTCACTGGGTTCCATGGGTTCAGTTCAGTGTTTAACTGTGGGTGTTAGCCTCTGCTTCCATCAGTCACTGGATGAAGGCTCTAGGATGACATATAGGATAGATGTCAAGTTCATTATCAGGAATGGGCATTTAAGGTAGTTCTCCACTATTGCTTAGCTTGCCAGTTGGTGTCATCCCTTTAGACCACTAGAGGTCTCTCTGGTGCCAGATCTCTCTTCTAACTGATGACTCCCTCTATCACGGTATTTCTCATCCTGTTCTCCCCTTATTTTACCCCCCCCACTCAACCTTCCTGTTCCCCCATGACCTACTCTCTCTTCCTCTTCTCCCCCTCTTCCCAGCTCCCACTCCCCCCACCCCACCTCTCGCCATGTTCCCAATCTATTCAGAAGATCTTGCCTCATTCCTCTTCTCTGGGGTACCATGCATACCTCTCTTATGGTCCTCCCTGTTTCCCAGACTCTCTGGCAATGGGATTGTAGGCTGGCACTCCCCTGATCATGTCTAATATTCATAGATGGGTGAGTACGTACCATGTTTGTCTTCTTGTGACTGGGATACCTCACTCAGGATGGTTTCTTCTAGTGCTGTTCATTTGCCTGCAAATTTCAAGATTCCATTGGTTTTTCCCCCCGCTGAGTAGTACTCCATTGTAAACACATCTTCTTAAGCAAC